CTTGTCCTAATATTTTTTTTAAAGTATAGAGTCCTCAAACTGAAAATGCTGATCAGAAATTATATGCGTATCAGGAGAAGGCATCTCTGGTGGCTTGTTGTTTGTTGTTGCTGAGTGTCATTGAATCAGAACTGACCTACAGTTGATCCTCCAATGTGCTTTCAGAGGTAGAGACGATAAACAGTATGGGAGGAGACTCCCCATCTTTCTCCCATGGGGCAGCTGGTGGATTGAAACTGCGACTGTGTGGATCACAACAAACTGTGGCTGACTGAGAAAAATGGGAATCCCAGAACATTTGATTGTGCTTATGTGAAACCTATACTTGGACCAGGAGGCAGTTGTCAGAACAGACCAAGGAGACACTGCATGGTTCAAAATTGGGAAGGGTTTATGCCAGGGATGTATTCTTTTTTTTTTTTTTTAATTTTTTTTGCCAGGGATGTATTCTGTCTCCATAAATTTTCAATCTATATTCAGAACAGATTATCCAGGAGGCTGGGCTGTCTGAGGAGGAATGTGGCATCAGGACTGCGAAGGAAGTGTTATGGGCATTGAGAAGGGGAAAATAGCTACGGAAAGCCAGTCCTAGTGAGTGAGAATGGTTCTTCTAATCGCTTCTGACTTTCAAAATAAAGACAAAGGAAAAGTAAAACAATAAGGAGCTTGAGGTTTTTTTGTGAATCAAATTGTGCTAACTTAATAGTTTGAGTATTGCTATTGTTTTCACAAGGTAAAGAAAAATAGAAAATAAGTCTGAAAGTAATATGGTACATTTGAACCACACACCTTTGGGTTGGCAGTGTGATTTCATTGCTAATGCAAAGGTTGTTGTTATGTGCCATTGAGTCACTTATGACTCATAGCGCAACAACAGCCCTGAAACCAGCTCTATCCTGTCAACTTTACTGTCTCTGACACACTCACTCTCATTACCCCAGTCACTGTATCAATCCATCTCATCTGTGGTCTCCCTCTCATTCTCCATCACTCCACCCTTCCAAGCATGATGTCCCTCTCAAATCGACTAGTTGCTCCAAAGAAGATGATGGACAATCTTATCCTTTGTCATTTACATTCTTCTGAAAATCCACTGGAGGGTTGGCTTTGAGTTGGTGCCAACTCAACAGCAATGAGTGTGAGTCTTCCTCCCAGTCTCTGGACACATCCTTATTTCACTGCCTCTCATCTCCACCTATTGACTCGCAAGATACCTAAGTTCCTGACATACTGCAGGAAGGGATCTAGAAAAGGACAGAAATAAAGATGCACCCAACAAAATTTTTTACTTAACTTGAATTTCTAATACTCAGTCTGGACATTTAGCAACTTCTTAGTTATTCACAAATGCCACATTTATTTTCAGAAGCTGCAAGGGCCTCAGGCAAAGGAACTCTGAATTCCACCCACTATATTGTTATACCTGATCCAGAGACTCTGGAGTCAAGCAAATGAAACTCAACACTCACTCATTAAACCATCAGTAATGACTTTGAAACTCTGGACCTGAAATCCAAGCGCTGACCTATCTTTCTGTTCACCTTAAAGGAAGTTAGATCTGAAATCAAATCCATAGACCCATGACAAGAAACTGGGTTTTTAAATTTTGTTATTGTTTATGTAAAGCAAACACTCACTTCGCTTCTCTGAATAAGCCTGTTCCACTTGAAGCAGCAGCCAAGCTGCAAACTTCAGTTCTAACTGCATCTGGGATAACGATAGAAACTATTTGCTGAGTGCCTGCTGTGAGTCAGGTGCTGTGCTAAGTGCTTCTGCATCATCTCATTTAACTGGCCTCGATCAGCTGGCCAGTTCTCAGCAGAAACAGAAAGCCACTGTTGGCTAATAACTGGGGGATTCTACTCAACGCTCCTAATGTGCATAACCATCTCCGTTTCCACAAAACTGGGAGGAGCCCTCAGCTTGTCCAAAACAGCTTCTCAGACGAGAGTGACACTGCAACTTGTGTAGCCCCACTGCCAGCCTCTCACCTGCTTGCCTATAAACTGCGATTTGAAGGACATGTTCCCACTTCTGAGTGACCAGAGGAAGGGAGCAACGCATTGCATTTAATCACAAGAAAAAGTAAACTTTAAAAAAAAATTTTTTTTTGGGTTTTTTTCTGTGTGTATACCATCAAATTGGATCTGACTGGTACAGGAGGAGATTGTCCCTCCTTCTCCAGCAGAGCGTCTGGTGAATTCAAACCACTCACCTCTGGGATTACATACAATACAGCTTCTTGCCATTAGGCCACCAGAGCACACCAAGAAAAAGTAAACTTTAATGCTCATGTTTTACCACTGCTCATGACTGCTTATAGTTTGTTGGGTTGTTTGGTTGTGTTTTGGGGGTTTTTTTGTTTTGTTTTGTTTCGTTTTTTATTTTGAAAAGAAAGAAATTGAACTTTACAAGACTCATGGGGAGGGTAGGGAGGTCTGGCATGTTTCTGCTCATCTGTGAAGCGTTGCTCTTCAGTTCTGAGCAGACTCCGGGCTCTGGAAGAGTTCTGGCAAAGCTTCTGAAGACAGTCAGTCCTCAAGGAGTGGTTCTGTTTGGGAGGGGTATCCTGGAAGCTAATGAAAGAGCTCTGACCCTACTCTTACCTTCAGAGGGAGGAGCTACATATCCTTGGAAGGGCAAAACTATAGGATCCTCCTGGAGAACATTCAAGATCTTCCTACAGCCCACTAGAAGTGGAGGATGCCAGGAGACAGGACAGAATAAGAAGAGAGAAACTGAGGTAGGATAGGAGTGGGAGTGGACGGGATCAAGCCAGAGCCTTCTAAAGAAGTCTAGAAGATTCCAGGTGGGGGCTGGAAGGCAGCTGAGTTCTCTTAGAGAAAAGAAAACAAAAAAATACTTCCTTTGAGTATGACTCTGTGAATCTCAGAGAAAGCCTGCCAGACAAGGACAGACGGACAGACCAATGGAGGGAATGGGAAGCCAGAGTCAGCCCACATCAGTGTGGGAGTTTGGAATGTTTCAGGGACAGAGGCGGCTGCACTGACTCTTGAGCAGCTGGTTTCGAGACAATCAGCCAGTCCATATGGAAAAGATAAAGTAGATCCCCATCTCACAGCAGGCCTCCAAATAAATCCCAGATGAACTGAAGACCTACAAGGAACAAGCAAAACTATTATGGAGCTTTTGGAGAAAAACAGAAGTGAAAAACTAGGCAGAGGAAAATGCGTAAAAGGTGGCTAATTTTGCATAAATTAAAATAAAAATCTTCTCCAACAAACGGCATCACATGCAAAGTAAAAAGAGAAGCCATGGACTGAGACAAATTTGCTATCAATAGAAACCAAGAAAAAATTTCACAGACTACCTGAACACATCTACACATCAACAAGAAAAAGAGAATCTACCTATTAGGAAAATGGGCAAAAGGTAAGAACAGACAATTCATTGAGGGAAGAATTTCAAAAGGCCAGTAATATAGAGTCTTTGGTGTTATAGTTAAGCACTGGACCAGTAAGCCAAATGGTTGGTGGTTCAAACCTCCCAGAGGTAAGCACCTGAGAATAAAGAGCAGGTTGTTGTTGTTAGGTGCCATCAAGTACAACTTATAGCGACCCTATGAACCAAAGATCTAAAACCAGTCGTATCCTGTGCCATTCTCACACTTCCTGACACTCAAGAGCCCACTGCAGCAGTCACCTTGTCAATTCATCTGATTGAAGGTCTTCCTCTCCTTTGCCAACTGTCCACCCTTCCCAACATCATGTTCCTCTCAAAGGAATAGCACCTCCTAGCAATATGTTCAGTGCTCTTCTCCAACACCACAGCTCAAAGGCATCAATTCTTTTTCCGTCATCCTTATTCATTGTCCAGGTCTCGGATGTATAGCAAGTAATCAGAAAGACCATGGCTTGAATCAGATGCACCTTAGTCCTCAAACTGACATCACTACTCCTCAATAATTTGGAAAGGTCCCTAACTGCAGATTTTCCCATTGCAATGCATCTCCTTATTTCCTGACTGCTGGTACCAAGGGTGTTAATTGTGGATTCATGCAAGATGAAGCTGTTGACAGTTTTAATCTCCTCTCCATCCATCATGACAATGCCTACTGGTCCAGTAGTAAGAATCTGTGAGCAGATTATCTGCATACAAAAAGTCATGACCTTGAAAAACTTACTGGAGTGTGATATGCTCTGTAAAACATGGCGTGATCAAGAGTTGATGACAACTGAAGCAGTTTTGGGGGCTTTGATTGATAAACAACCCTCTTTAAGAGATATTTCCCCTCATAATGCTAATCAGACAAGGTCAATGCAGTTGGAACTAAGCAGAGACACCCTAGTCTCCCTTGAGTGGAAATAAGTTCTTTTTCCTCATCTGATGAAATACTATACACCAGTTAAAAGGACTGCAATAAATAAAACCCATACCAATTAATCTCAAAAGCCTGGGAAAAAAGCAGATGGCAAAAGGACCTTGCACTTGGTACTATTTTTTATGACCTAACCCCCCACAATAATAAGCACACAAATCAGGTCTGTATGTTTAAAACTTTTTTGTTCTTTAAAATAAAAGTGAGAATTTTAAAGAAGGAGGAAGTTGGTTTAGACCTAGCCCTTCTACCCAGCTGAGCCACTCACCATGTTACACAGCGAAGTTAACCAGGGTCATCTGGACTCTCGTGAAGACCCTCAGCCACAAACACAACCCATCCCCAACCCCCAACCCCCCACCCCGAGGGGGGGAGCACCTCTCACCGCGCAGGCGCAGAGCTGGACCAGGGGCGTGGCCTCCCTTTGCGCCTGTGCGGAATTCCAGCTGCTGTTGCTGCTGCTGAAGGGGAAGATGATGCCGAAGTTGGGCTCCCGGGCCGGTGGGTGGAAAGGAGGCCCTCACTGCACACGCGCAGACCAAGTGCCCGCGTCAAGAGACGGAGAGCGCGCGCTCCCACGTCCTGCGCACCCCACTGCCAGGCATTCGTTCCTGCAGTGACAGCCGCCTGGCAAGGGCACCGTGGACGCGTCTGAAGAGTGATGCCCCGGGAGATCATCACCTTGCAACTGGGCCAGTGCGGCAATCAAAGTGAGCGAGCATCGGATCCCGCCAGCTTCTGGTTCCCCCCCTTTGGGTCCCTCCATACTGCTTGACGTCTCCAGTACCCCCTTCCTCATCGAATAAGCCCGGCCCCAATGCGCATGATGAGCGAGCCCCAGCCATAGAACCAGGCCCTCAGCTCTGGGCTGTGTTGACACCGGACCTAGAGGTCTTGAGCCCACCCACTGCGTGTGACAGCCTCTGGCCCTGACTCCGGGCTGCCTGAGGCTTTCTGGCTCCAGCAGACCAAGGCATCTTCCCATCCCCATTCACCAGTTGGGTTCGAGTTCTGGAAACAGCTGTGCGCAGAGCATGGTATCAGCCCCGAGGGCATCGTGGAGGAGTTCGCCACCGAAGGCACTGACCGCAAGGACGTCTTTTTCTATCAGGTGCCCCAGTGACTTGGCCAGGGCCAGCGGTGGCCCAGGAACCCTGAAAGGAGGGGCAGCGGCCTGGTCCTGGGAAACACGCTGGGCAGAGAGGCCAGGGCTGCTGACTTGGGGGAGGGAGGGCTGGCAGGAAGGGTCCAGTAATTAGGCCGGTCCTCGCCTCCCGTTAACAGGCAGACGATGAACACTACATCCCCCGGGCGGTGCTGCTGGACCTGGAGCCCCGGGTGATCCACTCCATCCTCAACTCCCCGTATGCCAAGCTCTACAACCCGGAGAACATCTACCTGTCAGAGCACGGAGGAGGAGCTGGCAACAACTGGGCCAGCGGATTCTCGCAGGTGCCCAGGCAGGCTATCCCAGACACTTGTGATATTTCAAGGCAGGCTCAAACATTTGAGCATTTGACCCAATCAGATTGACAATAAATAAGAGGCCAAAGGGGTATCTTGACAAAAAGGACCACCAAGAAGCGATGTATGCAAATCTTGTGCAAAGCATTTACAAGCTAGCAGTTCTGTCTGAAGGCTACTGCACATTTTCTGCTTGAGGATGACAGCTCATGTGGCTGTAAAGAGATGCCTTCCAGAACTTTCTCACCCTTACCCTCTCTCCCCATGTCTCTAGGTCTTGAGTGAGTTGTCAACCTGTAAAGACTCCCTGTGACAGAGTGGAACTACTGCATAGAGTTTTTAAGACAGGAGTCTTTATAAGACTGGGTACTAGGTCTTTCTCCCTTGGAGTAGATGTGTGGCTTTTCAAATGACAACCTTTCAGTTGACAGCCAAGTACATACCCAAGCAACCACCAGAGCCCCTCTTTCTATACAGGGTGAGAAAATCCATGAAGACATCTTTGACATCATAGACAGAGAAGCAGATGGCAGTGACAGCTTAGAGGTGAGGATCTCCACCCATACTTCTCCCAGAGGAGAGGCCAAGGGGTGGTCTGTCAGGTGGTGTGATGGGTCATGTCTATTCAAAACCTATTTATCAAGTATCTACTGTCTATTTATCAGATGCTTAGAGCATTGAATTGAAGAAAGTACATTTCTCGTCCTCATGGAGGCCATAATCTGGTTGGGGACATCATTCAGTTTCTCATTTGGGCTCTGAACCTTCTGGGAGCCTCAGCCTAGAAGGACACAGGAGAAATCTTGGACTGTGTGTGTTAGGAGCAGTGAACGGAACTAACTTGAAATATTTCTTCCAGGCTGCTTTACACTCTTTTTCACACAGGGCTTCGTACTGTGTCACTCCATCGCTGGAGGGACCGGTTCTGGCTTGGGCTCCTACCTCCTGGAGCGGCTGAATGACAGGTGAAACTGGGTTTGGGGCAAGGACATTAGTTCTAGTTCCCTAAGTAATATCCTTTATTATCTTTTTTTAATCTTTTGATCATTTTTTCTCTTGAGTTGGAGGGTCTAAAATCTGCTCCTTTGAGTCATAGGGACTGAAGATAGATACCCAGGGAATATTTTGGAATTAGTAAGTCAAAGGATAGGCGTTTACCTTGAGAGATTGTTATGGACTGAATTATATTGCCCAAAAATATGTTGTCAATCCTATGGAAAATTTCCATGACTGTGGTTATAATGTCATTTGGGAATGTTTTGCTTCTGTTACTTAAATGAGGCAGGATTGCTATTATATATGTTGTGTGTTGTCTTGTCTAGTGGCACCTGACCCTTAGCTGACTCTCTAGCAGGTTTTCAGAGTCAGTAAATCCCAAAGGAGGAGACTGTCCATTTTTCTCCTGCCCAGCAGCTGGTAGATTTGAACCACATTTCTTTGGGTTGCCAGTGAAACTCCTTACCACTAAGCCACCAGAGTTCCCTAATGAGGCAGGATTAGTGTAGGATATATCTTGAGTCAATCTCTTTTGAAATATAAGAAATTAAACAAGTGTTGTTGCTGCTGTACACTGTCAGGTCAGAATTGACTCATAGCTGACCCTCCAGTGGGCTTTTCAGAGGCAGTAAATCGCATGGGATGGGATTTCCCGTCCTTCTGCAGAGAAGCTGGTGGATTTGAACTGCTTGCCTTTGAGATTTCAGTGCAGTTTCTTACCGTGAGACCACCAGAGCTACCTTTAAACAAATTGGGGAAAAAAACCCAAAAAACAGAGAAGATATGGGCTAACTTAGATTCCAAGACGAAGAGAGATCTCCACGGAACAGAAACTGAAGAGTCAAGGACCTTTGCTGAGAACTGACACAGAGAAAAAGCCTCTCTCTAGAGCTAGGGCTCTGAATTTGTTCAGATTCCTGAATTGTGACAAAATACATCTTTGTTTGTTAAACCCATCTACTTGTGATTTCTGTTGCAACAGAACCAGAGAGCTACAACACAGGTGATCTGCAGGGTTTGATGCCTGAGGCTTACCCTTTCTGACAGTTCAATTTTACTTTCCCCCTTTAGTACATGGGATGGGGGATACTTGAAAAAGAATGTCTTCTCTTGTCCCTAAAGAAGACAAAGATGAGTGGTGAAAGGGGTCCTCTGTTTTAGTGTGTCATCCCCCTTCTTGCCTTTTCCTCACCTTCAGGTACCCCAAGAAGCTGGTGCAGACGTACTCCGTGTTTCCCAATCAGGACGAGATGAGCGACGTGGTGGTGCAGCCCTACAACTCGCTGCTCACGCTCAAGAGGCTGACACAGAACGCAGACTGTGTGGTGAGCGTGGAGGAATGCAGGGCCTTGCTCTGGCTCCCATAGCACTGCATCATTATAAATGCCCTGTGCTTCCTGAGCTCCTTCCCAGGGAAGAGAGATGTGATAAAGCCACATTGCATGACTAGTATCTAATAAGGCCCTAGCCCACAAGTAGGTCTTTAAGCTACTTTAAGACTCGTTCGGCAGCAAGACTAAATGAGTCTAAGTGAGAAAAAGACAAAGTGAACCCCTTCCCTCCCCGTTCTGCCTACTTAATGCCTACTCATACTTGAACTCCAGTTCAAGGGCTCCTTGCTTAGGAATGTGATCCTGTCAAGGTCAGGCTCCTTTCTACCTATTTCAGCTTGTACCCAAACATTTCTGTTGGTTTATAAAAACACCTGCCGCTTTCCACCAAAGTGGAAGCCTCATGAGGAGAGAGACCATACAAGTTTTGCTCTCTGTTGTATCTCCTGGGCAGGCACAGTACATGGCACAGGAAACGAGTTGCTCTTGACTCTGGCAACCCCATAATCAGAGTACAGTTGTGTTCCCTAGATAGGTCTTGGAGACCATCCTTGGAGCCAGGATGGTGAAACTTCGCCTCACATGCTGTGGGTATGTTGCTAGAAGAGGCTGTTCCTTAGAAAGAGGCATCATGCTTCTGTGGAAGGGCAGTGAAAGAGAAGACCCTTAATGAGATGGACTGACACAGTGTCTGCAACAATGGGCTCAAGTGTGTCAGAGATGATGAGGACGGCACAGGATAGGGCAGGGTTCAGATCTATTGTTTGCAGGGCCACTCTGAGTTGAGCTCAACTCAGTGGCACCTAACAACAGCAGAGTTTTCAGTGGCTACTCTTTTTAGGAATTAGATCACCAGGGCTTTTGTCTTGGGCACATGTGTATGGGCTTGAATGTCCAACCTTACAGCTGGCAGCTGGGCATATTTACCATTTGCTCACTGCACTGGATGGTGCAAAAAAAGTTTAAAATGTCTTGTGATGTCCCAAAGACAGTGCTTTTCTTTAAAATGAACACACCTACTTTCTGATTGTAGAGATAGGGGGCTAAGCTAATACTCTGTTTCTTTGCTGTTTTTCCCCTCAGCTTTTTATTAAGGTGTGACCTTCTTCTGACCCACAGGTGGTGCTGGACAACACGGCCCTGAACCGGATCGCCACAGACCGCCTGCACATCCAGAACCCATCCTTCTCCCAGATCAACCAGCTGGTGAGGCCCCACCTCCTTGACCCCTCTGAGCTGGGACCCTCACTGCTGAAAG